AAAAAAAAAAAGAAAAAGAGACAAAAGGCTAATGAGGATGTCAAACAAAATAAATATTGTAACATCAAAGAAATAAAGAATAATAATAATAATAATATATTTCAGGAAGTAATTCTTCATCAAATAAACCTTTTTATTTAACAATATTAATTACGGGAATTAATTCGTGAGGATAGACTCAGGGGACGTAGAATTTTTGAGTTTGTTTTTTCATGTGATCCATGAAACAGGACTGCCACGAGGAAAGTAGAATAAATTTTCACCGTGAAAATGAGTTGGCGTTTCCGGTGTGTTAAGCCCTTCCGCTGGGATCCGTCAATATTTTCCTTTTTTTACATTTTCTGTCCCTAGAGTCTGACTTTGGTATGGATTTTTGCCGTTTTAATGAATCATTTGGGCTTGGAATTATTTTAATTACGGAAATCAACAGCTCTGATATTATTTTACGAATTAATATTGAATTTGGAGAAGGCGGGGAGGGATTTTCCGGTTTGTTTTGAAAACATGATCTAGAGAACAGAACTGTGATGACGGAAGCGAAATAAATATTCGCTGAGAAAATATGGTGGTTTTTCCGGAGGGCTTAGCTAATCCCCTGGGATTCACCAATTTTTTTCCCCTTTTTTTGTGATCAGGAGATGGATGAGGGTGCGTCTTTCAGTAGTCTCTCGAGGAAAAATGTCGAGAACTGTCTGATGGCCTTTTGCGACTTTCTCTTCAGAATTTTACTCGAAAATATTAATATCGTCGGGTATTTAGATTGAGGATTGATAGTGAAATTGGAAAATCCCTGTGGGGGAGGCAAGGCTATCGGAATTTTTTCGAAATTTAAAATCTCCCGAAGTTTTCAAATAACAATTTCAGACGAATTTCTCATTATTTTAAATGAAATTCCATCGCTCGAGAGTCTTTCGCTGAATTAAATGCTAAAAGAAATATGTATTCAATTTTCAGTCAATCAAATCATCTCCAATAAACAAATTTCATAATAAAATAGTGATTACATTCAGAATGTATACTTTTTATTGAAAATTGAAATTGTTGTCCAGTACTGGAATTTCCCAGTAAATTCCAGTTCCATTAGTTCCAGGAAATTAAAGGAAAAGAGGAAAATTGTCGTGAATATACTTTTGATTTGTAATTTTTCTGAAAGTATATTTTAATGGAGTTTTATTTTTTAGATTCCAGCCGATGGATCAAATGAATTGAATCAATCATTTGATTATCATTTATTTTAACTATTTCCTTAGATCTCTTGCAATTCCGGAAGGAATTAAATTTTTTTCTCGACCGATGTACATCTGTTTCAGGGGAGAATATTCTGGGATTTGAATCTCCTCCTGGATGAGAAAAATGAGTTGAATGAAAACATTTTTTTCCA